AATCGAAAGATTTGTTCCTAATGAGGATTTTGCTGAATTTGCTCCTTTATATTCTAAAATCCCTAACAATAACAACTATTCGATATTACGATTTATCATATTACAGTATAATCATATCCAGTAGCACGACGATTAAAGATCGACATCTTTATGGGAGTTCGCATCTTTATGAATATTGAAGTAATTAAGAGTTAAAAACTGATAATATTGTACTAATTTTATGATTTATTAGTTTAATAGATGTATTTATGCATTTAGGATCTTACTCAATAATACTCGATTTTTCTTTAAAATTGTGATTTCAGTATTATCGTCAAAGTTTTATTATCAACAGAGATGATAATTGCAGAGAAAAAAATTGTAATTTTTCTGCAATATGTAGGATGCTACAGCTTTACAAGTATGCATATTTATTTATGGAACGTTTATGTAATAAAAAATCATGAATTTAATAATGTATGAGCCAAATATTTATGTTAATAATAGCAAATTTATATCAATTGTCGATAATATCAGCATTCTTCAATTACCTCCGGGTCCTTGGGGCCCTTTTTATACCGCTAAAAATTTGTCCAGGGTTGACGGTCTTTAATAGTATCTCGTCGGTGCCAGTGACAATAAACTTTTTTGTAATCTGCAATTTTTAGTGCGCATGTATCGATTTATACACTTAGGAATATGGCGGACGTATTAGAAGCTTAATAGAAATTCAAATTTAAGAGTTAGTCCTATCATGACTCTACTGTGTACACTTCACAATATGGCGGTGAATCATGTGCTCTAAGAACACTTATATGAAAGGTGGTGACGTTTAGTGTCGCTACTGAGTATGGTTATACTGTGATTTTATCATCAGTGCATTTATTAGGCCTGTTCTTTTTGGTTGAACTTTTGCACCAGTTCATCTTCTTTCGTTTTCTCTTCAGCAGGAAAGAAGAGGAAAGACGATGAACTGGTGCAAAAAGAACCAGGCCTATTTACCAATCACGTAATTACGTAGTTCCCACATCGAAAATGAATCTACTGGCGCTAGTGTACGGACGATTTTGACGAAAAACACCAGATGGCTGCTTTTAGGTTTCTATAATAATTGGATTTTATCGCTGATTGTATCCGTTGTATGATTAGGATGATATCCTAATATATATTAGTGCAGAAATTAATATTTAATCACAATAAAAAAAATCACAATGAGACGACCAGGTATGAACACTGAGATCATCCTTTATTGTTTGACTTTTTGTTTTTTTTTCTCGCTGATATCATATTAATAAGATTATAGGTAGGTTAACTCACGTGTATATCCTTATAAACAAGAATAGATTGAAAGTTCTCTCGGTCGAGGCGGATATATATTTGCTCTGGTTTGAGTGGATATTTTTGAAAAATGTGGCCTGCTTTAAACACATTGCATTTCATCATACATTAAAAATTTTTATACATATTATTTGAATCTCATCTATTTCAACTTGTTTATGGTCAGATTGCGACTACGAGCTGCAAGTGCCAATTAAAGAAAAGAAAGGAAGGAAAAGAGAATGGATTGAAATGACTTAAAATGGATTTAGATTTTTAGAAATAATGCATTCATAAACGTTAAAATGAGGTCTTTTCAATCTGAATATATTTTTATTCATTTACGTGAATTGAATAAAGCACATTTCTATTATTAAAAATAATATCAACTTTTTACTTTTGTATACTTCAAAATTCTGAATAGGAAATGCAGTTTTTCAATCCAATTGAATCCAACTAATTTCATCTAATTTAATCCAATTGAATAAAAAAAGTTTTTGTTATTTAAAATACATATTTGTGGATAGATAAAATTTCAATTTATTTTAATCCATTCTCATTTACTAGATAGAACATACATACAAGAAAATGTAAATGCAATAAATTTATAAAGTCATTTACATATAATGTAATATTGTAAAGATGCATAATTATTTCTCTTAATAACTTTTAAATCTAGAAAATGTAGTTTAAAATCTTGCATGTATTACAATAAAAATAAACATAAATTATTTATATTTCTATCATTTATTATTTTAGTTGTCATTTTTATTATATAACATTATTTTTATATTGTTTCTAGTGGATAAAAAATATTATGGAAAGACACCAATTGGTAACAGATACTCGGAAAAGGTACCAGTTAAAAAAGAAATATTAATGAAACATTCTAGAGGTCCTGGACTTGAGTTAAATAGAAAGAAAGATACAATACAAAATAAAATACTGAGAAAAAAATTAAAGCAGAAAGAGCTAGCTATAGAAGAACAGATAGAAGCTTCTGCTCGGACAGAACTATTATTGACGGAGGAGCATGGCTACTTGGAAGCAGAACCTGGAGAAGTTACTACTGAATATCGACAGAAACAAATAGCAGAGAATGTAGACATAACGAGCGCGGCTAAACGTTTTAAATTGGATTTGCAATTTGGCCCATACTGCTTTAGATATACCAGAAATGGCAGACACTTGCTCTTGGGTGGCAAACAAGGTCACGTGGCAGCTTTCGATTGGGTGACGAAAAAGCTGGCTTGTGAAATAAATGTGATGGAATCTGTGCATGATGTTACATGG